ATCATCATGAATCATCATCATGAATCATCATCATGAATCATCATCATCATCATCATCATCATCATCATCATCATCATCATCATGAAGCATCATCATCATCGTCGTCGTCGTCGTCGTCGTCATCATCATCATCGTCATCATCATCGTCATACATACGCAAACATTATACATCATCATGCACCTGTGATCATTCGTTTTCGTTTGGAACCCTTTCGTTATAATGCTTACTCCTACTATGCTTTCGGGCCACCCTGTCGTCTAGTAAATATATAGTATATGTAAATATCTGTCATTAGCTGTTTGGCTGTATATGGTCAAATGTGTGATGCGTCTGATTGTTCTTCCATCTTGGGCCACCTTCTTCTTTCAAGACATGTCATTGCTGGTGGTGTTTCTCTCCAAACCCTGTCCTCATCCTTCTCTGTTGGCTTTTCGGGAAGCCGTATTTGCAAGTATCGAGGCCTGAGCTGTCTGATATCTGGTCCCCAAAGTTTGCAATCGACCAACATTTGACCAAGGAGCTGCAGGACCAACCGCCCTGCTCTTCTCACTAAAACGCGCAAGGTGAAGTTGTTCTGAGGGTTCCTGACACCAAACCAGAAGAAACCGCAAACAGTGTCCCTCATCACTTTGAGGCACTCTTGATGATCCGAATCCCGAAAACCCTGCCTCACATCATGCACCCTCAGCTCGCCACTGGACAGCTGACCAAAGGCCTCGAAGCCAAGTCGAAGTCATTGGAGTCGACTGGAGTGTCATTCCAGTGGGTTCGGGGGCTAATGCCGCTCTGAACTACTTGCTTTTCCAAGCCTGTACTCTGCCATCTGGCGTCACTGTGATCGCACCATCTGGCTGTGAGTGGACTGCAAACACCTGGGCATGAATTACTCTTACTCTGGCCGGAACAAGCGCAGCTTGGACTTTGGATGAACTCGGAGCCGTGTGCACATGCTTTGCGCCTGTCGACCACTGCCTCCACGGACTGGAAGCAAATAGGAATGCCACCTCCACTGCGTTTTGACGGAGACGTTGAACAACAGCAAGAGTCGTTGATATCCGAAGGCAGATCTACACACGTCCACTCGTTTCTCACTCAACATGGAAAGGCTAAATGCATCGAATATGATCGAAATGAGGCTAACGGCCAAATGAATTTAAATGGAGGCCATCGCTATTAGGTTGGAGGTGGAGGCCATCGCTATTAGGATGAATATACATGAATCATGGCACCGCATAGCTGGACGTCTTCAGCCTGGGCAAAAGCATTGGTCCGGAGACATCAACCATTGGTTCCAGCTGCGGAGCCACGTGAAAGGCCTATCGATTCACAGGCTCGATTCTCATGTTCAATGGCAAAAGCGAATCATTTAGAATGACTTAAACACATATAACTATAATGTTTAATATTAATTGTTTTTTGTTGCAAAACAATCATTCTTACGCAACATACTGGCGAACACGTGGCCCACCACCCACGCTACCCCTAAGCCACAGACCTGCTTGGCCAGCAGCTTCAGGGAGGTACTTTTCAAACCTCGGTCCTGACATTCTCCAAGAGTCACCCCACAATATCAGTTTGAAAGAAAAAAGGGTGACTGCCAAGTGCCTAAAAACATTTAAAAACATTGAAACACATCGAAAACTTGGAAGGCAAAGAGCATAGCAACTATGTATTTAAATAACTGAATAGCGGGGGACACCGACATAGGACTTCCTCATGATCCTCATTGCAACCTGCCTGATCATCCTTGTCTGCTTCAAGGGTAAGGTTCTCGATGGTGATGTGTCCCTTCACAATTGCCAGGCAATTGCTAACCAAGCTTTCGAACAACACACCGCACCAGCTGGCTGCAACGAAACAAAGCAAGAAAGGCTCGCGTCTGTTCAATGACAAAATTCACAGGGAGAAATGGTTCGAGTTCGAGGATGTTCAAGGTCATAGGCCTCCCCAAGCTCGACAGCCCTGAAGATCACCACGGCGGAATTGGATGCCTCACGGCAAGTCCAGGATATGCGCCAAAGCTCTAGAGATTCCCTAAATCAGGCGACGGTCATTGGTCTCAAATGTTATGACCAGAAAAGCCAAAAGATCAAAAAAAGCAAACTGTTAGCTGATGAACAGCCTGTGTTCGGGTCTAGGGTGCATCGTGCCCAAGGACTATTGCGGCCGGAATCTTCGGAAGCTCAACATGCTCCCTGTCAATTCTGACGTGTTCTGCACGAGTTTCCTAGCATCTGCACCAATCGCCTTGTGAAGAAGCTGCAGGTTAGCATCCGAAGCATTGGCCGCCTGAGGTGCTGAGAGCAGAATCAAGGGCAGACCCTGAAAACACTTCATTGAGCATTACATTGGAATAGCTATAAAGACTGTTGGCTTTCATCAGTCCCACCTGACAGTGTGCCCTAGCTCGCAGGTTCAAAGGGATCTGCCTCAGCAGAAACATTTCCAAATGCACGAGCAAAGAGTTGGCTTCAGCTGCTTGCAAAGAGTGAATGGGGTTGCTGGATGGTTAGCAAAGCACTTGAGAAAAGTTGCATAAGATTTGAATCTTTATCCCGTAGTTCCAGCTTCAAAGCATAGGTCCTTGCATCGGCGTGCGGACACTTTGGTTTGGTATGTGCTTAAGCCATGCACGCGATATACATCGTCACACAATAACTTTTACGACCCCGCTTGTTGCGTCGGTGTCCTGCCCTGCACAAGCTGAAGTGTGGGCTCATCCTTACTCCAAAAGGAGATCACAAATCGGGACCAAATGGCAAGACAAAGCACATCTCTTATTGGCACGAGGCCCAAGACTGCAATGAAGCAGTTTCTCTAGACATGCCAGGGCGCTGAAGAGGTGCCGATGGTCGGAGTGCGCAGCAAGTGCAGCTCTTCGTCCTCCCAGCCGCTCTCCATGCTTCCTCTCCAGCCTCCCAAGTGCAAAGAAGCACAGGAATCCAACATCCTCTCTGCTATTGCAACAAGACCATCAGAGACCTCTAGGTCAAAGAAACACCTGTGACAGTGACATATAGGTGACGTAGTGACTACGTGGCATGCCGGTCTCGAGCTCCGCTCACACAAACAATCTCCCCACTTCTCCCCACGCGCCTGGAGTCTGTCTCATGATAGAGATGCCAGGGTCGCGCCAAAGAGGCCGTGTCCAAAACCGAAGAGTCACAGGATTCGTCACCTCTGCGGACATGAGAAACGGACAAATATGACTATAATAATGGTGTTTACAGTGGATACATGCATCTAGTGTATTTACAGTAGGACCTTTTCCTGACTTTGAATGATCTTGCTTTTGCCCATGCTGCTGTGCTTCAAGTCTTGCAAGCTTGTAATTAATTAGAAAATGCACAAGGTAGCTGCAAGCAAGTCACATAAATTACGGAGGCCGCAGTGTTGTTCTCAATTCCTGACAAAGTAGAATGCTCCAATCCTCTTAATCAGGAAGCCACTGCATGTATCTGATGTGCGCTCCCTCTTGGTAATTGGTGTGCTGAACACGTTTCCAGGTCTGGCGGTCAGTTGTCCCTCCATTTCTCGGATTTAAAAGGTCCACCGGTAACCACTATGCAACCACCTAAAAGACCCTTTGCTAAAAATTGAATTCAACTGATTCTAACAACTTGTTGGACTCTATCATCAATCTCATCTTCTGCGCCAAGTGTCTTGAGTCAACTGCTAGCACACGCGAAGTGCCCAATTTCTGCGTGACCACCCGACCCATCTCAGGCTGGACATAAAGCACGGTGTCGTTGCCTGTGAGCAAATGTATGATATATTGCGTGCATTTTGTGATATAAAGCTATGGAACAAAGCCACAAACCCACCGACAGGCTTTGGTACAGTATCCTACAGTTCCTCTTGACGGTTCAACAACTGTGGCTGAAGAATTTGAAGAATGACCTTTCAGTGCTTAAATCAAGCTGTCAAAGTATTTACTTGGGCCTTTCATTCCTTGAGCATGCCACCGGAAATGTGGCACCGGCAGCTGAACTGGAGGAAAGTCCTGGCAAAGCATGCTGAGCTAAAGGATCAAATCTGGAGAGTCCCGCAGATCCCGATAATATGAGGATGTGGGCAAACAATCAAAAACAACACAAAAGCCAAAACATGCCCTGCCACTTCAGTTTTCAGAGTCTGTATCTCCGTTACACTCTAAACACTCGATGCAAAGAGTCCGCCTGGACTGACGTGGAATTTAACCATGGTTTGCACCTCTCATTTTCTGCTCAAGCAACACAACAGTAAGCAACAAAAGTGTTTGCCCAAATATGTAATATACAATAAACATCCAGGTCCATAAACGAAGCGGTTGCATAAGTGTTCAAGAGAATGTCAAAGGCAAAAGTGCCACACACCCAAAGTACGTCTCTGTTGTCCAGAAGTTACACACTCTCTCCTGCTGAAGCGTCTCGCGCACGTTACTAATCACGTTGATGACGGTTATCCAGTTGTCACCTTCCTCCCTCCTGTAAGCTAAGTTTCTCTAAAGATATAGGAACCAAGTCATTTGTGCGAGCGCTTCTTCAAGGAAAAAGTACCTCCGTTTGTTGGCATCAAACCCTCGATGCCCTCGCCTCCAATGGTCCACCCGTGCCACGCAGGATTTTCAAGTGCAGCTGAAGATGAGCTATAGGAGGGGTGTAGATCAGCGATGGGAGCACCACCTGAGGTATTCCGGTGCTGAATCACTTACAGTACTGCAGTTACTGTACTCTAAACTTGGCAGGCTGAAATCAAGCAATTCTTTTTAGACAAAGCCAAAGCCTTTCGATCAAGCGGCTATGTTCTCCAAGACTGTCAAATGGACCTCTGGAGATGCAATGACCTTCTTGCCAATGGTAAGGTTGGCCCCAACCGTAGTCCTTCGAACACGGTCAGAACGCTTTGAGTCCGACCTGAGAAGAGTGCCACCGGACCGACCGAGTCGTCCTTCCAGTTGCCACTCCTTGCAAGAGCACAGTGTCGGGTTGCGCGCCAGCCTGACATTGCTTTTCATCCCATTTCATTGGCAATTCTACTCATTCTACTCGTTGCAGTGTCACTAAGTCTGAGCACCTCTGCCAGCGCACGCCGCACCGGGCTCAGCTTAAAGGCAGAGTCCACAAGTCTTGGACTCCGGAGGACGGAGGCATCGCCCAAGCGCCAGCGAAACCTGTGGCCCAGGCACCCAACGGCACACTGTTTCACAGACTTTGCTCAAAATCACATCGAGCAGCTGCAATCCCTCCAAGGAGGAGAAAACGTTGCCCTGTTTGTCGTAGGCCTTTTCAGTGAATGCACTGTTCCAACGTCATGACGCCATGGCCATCTCTCAATTCACCTGACCATTTGTGCCTTGATGCCCAGCGTCTCAACCTGATCTACATTGATTCGACGGACAGATGTCTCCACCTGAGCACAAACTCCAGCCTGTTCTGGTGCCAAAAGTAAAGGTGTGACATGGTTTGCCTCTATTCGATCTATATTGGCAATGTAGACCTCACATCCTTAGTTATGCACTCCAGGGAACAACAAACAATCAACTGAGACTTGGATGACAGCAACTGATGATTTTAGATCTCAGTCCAAACAAAGCGGCGAAGCTCAACTCCAGGTGATGTGATGTCCTGTGCTAGAACAAGGACCTTCTCAACAGCGCTCACGCTCTCTGCGAGCGAACGGATGATTGCCACTGGCTGGCCTCGGTTGCGACATGGTTTTGCAACAACTGACTAACACTGATAACCAACACTGATAGCTTTGTGACAAGAAAATGCCCCTTGCCGATCTGAAATAGGGTGTTCTAGGTGTTTCATTTAAGCGAGGAACAGCCATCATCCGCCTGACTTTCGTCTGGCAGCTGCTGCCAGCCAGCATGAAGGCAGGCCTCTAGCACAGCCGTTGCAGGCAGGAGCATCCTCTGTCAAATGGAACAGGAAGGACATCAATCCCAACCAAATCTGAACCAAACAACTAACTAACTGATCCAGCCAAAATCAGTTTGTTTCATGTTTTTCTGAACCACGCATGGCCGTCCACGCTCGTCCTCGCCTCTTGGCACGCTGCCTCCGCCGCCTTCTCCGCAGCACGTCGTGGAGGAAGCTCCTCTTGGAGCGGCTCCTGCAAACTGGGAACCGGGGCCCTCCCGGTCTCCTGTGTGTGCACCAAACACATCACAGCAGCCATTGAAAGCTCGTGGCCTGCTAGAGATGGATATCACCACCTGTTTGAATAGTTGTAGCTACTTAACATGCTTGAACACTTCCATGTTGGCATGTTCAAAGCTAAAGGGCTAGTTAGGGCTACATCTCACCACCATGCCATCGCTATTTCTAAAGTCGAAGAAGCGCTATGCTGCACCGCAAAGCTCCTCGACCACCACAAGGTCAGGCCTTTATCACAGTGCCAAACAGTCTTGAAGCTTTCTGGGCATGCAAACCTTTCGGTTTCCAAGTTAACTAGCATACCAGTATGTGAATCACACAAAATACCGCAAGCATCCGCAAGCGCATTTTTCTGAACTTCTGGGCTTGCTCTGTCTTTTGAACCTAGACGACTATTTGAGCCTCAGCAGGAAGAAAATGCAAGCCTGTAGTAGCTGAGGCATTTGTGACTGGGTATGTACACAAACCAATCCCCATTCCTTGGGAACACGTGCCAGAAGCACCGCAGTCCGTATTGGACTCACAAATCAATGCACAATACTTCTCTCCAGTAGTGGTGTGCAAAGCACACTCCGGACTGGCCTTGTCCCCTGTTGGCACGTCGGTTGGGCAAGTGCCGCTAATGCTGCACTTGGGACTGCAAAAGTCCCCAGAGAAACCCTGCACTCGGATGGCTTGCTCGTCAGACTGGCAGCCCGTCTTGGGGTTTCCGTAGTGAGTGGGGTTGGTGGCCACGGAACTTGGCAGAGCGGCCAAACAGCGCATCTCCACTGAAGCACCCCTTGCAAGCGCGCCAACTTGAACGGCCACTCTGCTAGGGGGCTCCGAGGGCCAAAAGGAGGAGTAGGCCTTGTTCATGGCAGCAAAATCCTTCATATGAACCAGCGACACCTCGCAAGCGACGACCTCATCCAGGCTTGTTCCTGAAGCTTCAACAGCTTCCCTAATGTCCTTCAGAGTTTGCGAGGTCTCAGGACCAGCACCTCCAGAAACCAACTTTGAGGTCTTCATGTCCACGCCTTGATTGCCGCTGACAAAGGAGATGCCACCAACCTTCACCGCTGCGGAGAATGGCAATTCGCTCTCTGGCCAGCCAGGTACCTTGACAACGCTAGGAATTTCACCGTGAGGCATGTCTGTGGTTGCAGCTGTACATTGAATCTCCACCTTGCCCGTCCCGGCCAGTGCTGCCACCTCAACACAAACCCTTGATGGCAGGCCATGCTGCTTAGGCCAGAATGCCTTGTACGCCTCATTCATCTCTCCAAAGTCAGCCATATCTGTCAAGGACACGCTACAAGCAACCACCCGTCCAGCATCTGAATTGGCTGCCTCAAGAACCTTCTCAAGGTTCTTCAAAGCCTGAGTGGTCTCAGCCTGCACACCTCCAGCAACCAGCTTCCCCGTGGACATGTTCATTCCCTGGGTCCCACTCAGGTAGACCATGCCACCTACTGTTGTTGCCCATGACAGCGGGAAGCCCTTGGCTGAAAGATCTGGGAAAGATGGTACGGTGACAACCTTTCGAGCTTCACCATTCAGAGCGGCATTGCATTGGATTTCAACTGAAGCATTGCCCGCCAAGGCAGCAACTTGCACCGCAACACGGGCTGGAGGCTCCTTTGGCCAGAACGAAGCGTAAGCCTTGTTCATCTGTTTGAAATCTCTAGTGATGTTTACCAAAGAAACACTGCACAGGGTCACCTGCTCCAAGCTGCTGTTTCCCGCCAGAAGCACAGCATTCAAATTCCGAAGAATCTGTTCTGTCTCCTTTTTCACACCACCTTCGACAAGCTTCATTTTCTTCATGTCCATTCCCTGCATTCCGCTAGCATAGACGTTGCTACCAGCCTTGACCGCAAAAGATAAAGGAAATCCTTTTGCTTCCCAGCCAGGCACTTTCACAACTTCACTGGCTTTTCGCCCCTGCACAATGAAAACCAGAAGCAATGCTGTCGCAGCTTTCAAACACGCCATTGCAATGTAGCTGCGAGAAAAAATTAAACGACCTGTGTTTGGACTTCGTCTTGAGCCAGGAACACAGAATTGCATTAAACTGAAACTGCAATTTCGGGTTCTGGAAGCCGTTCCAGCAAAGGACCTTACCTTTGCGAGACCCATCTGAAGCAGCCTCCCGAAGCCTCCGGACAAAGGGGTGTCTGTGATTGGTCGGATATTTGGATGCAGTATTCAGAGATCTTCTTCGTACTCCCTTTGTGGCCCTTTGTGCTACTCTGACTGATCCTTTGTTTTTGAGATGAGTTTGTTTTTCAACTGCGATGGCCTCAACTCGCAAGCGTGCACCAGCCCCAAGGGTGTCGTTCACCCGGCCTGGCAGTGCTTGAAAGTGTTTGCTAAGATTGTGCATTGACAGAGGCTTTGACAAATCCAAAGCTTTTGAACTTCAGAATGTTTGATGATAGAAGCTACTAGTAGCAAGGACGCTATGAGGTGGAGGCCATCGCCAGTAGGTTGGAGGACATCGCTACTAGTAACAAGAAGCTACTAGAGAAGAAGAGAAAGGACAGAAAGGCCTGGGCCACGGGGCGGCAATAGCGCTGTGACTACTGAGATCTTTGGCTCTGCGACGGCCTCAATAAGAGCCTCGGACTCATGACTCTTATTGACTCTTTATATTGTAATTCTTTAGTTTTCCGAACATTACTTTACCAAAAACAGTTTCTGAATATATAAATGTTGAACTTGTGGAATTCTGGGAGGTGGGCAGGTCTAAGCATCAGCACGGAAACAGTACGCAAGGTTTCCAACCAAACATTGAGTTGACGTAGTTTGAACATGTTTTTGCCAAACACTGCCTATCCTTCAGCCAACACACCAGGAAAAGTCCAAGCACCGCATGGAACTGGCCCATTCTGGCGATCGCTGAAGCCAAGCTAAAAGCGATGTCACATGTTTGAATGCTTGTGCTTGCTGGTAGGGAGACAACGGCCAATAAGGGATGCCCAGTGTTGATGCCCCTTGCAGCACGCCTCATCAAATCCTATCAAACTCCTTAGTCCGAATATTGGGGACCTCATTGCTCATGTGCTCTCTGGTAGACGTGACAGCTAGCGGCACTCGGCCACAGCATGCTACACCACTCAAATTCATTCTTTCTGACGTCTGCTTCTTCTCCCGGTTCGTCATCTCCTCGTCTATATTGAAGCTTACAGCAACAGGCATCATGATATCATGCAATTCGGTTCCAGTGCCTTGTGTTTCAGTCATATCCAATGCTTGCTCCTCCTACTTCACTAGCTGGCAAACAAGTCATCAAAGCATTGATCTGTGGCACCTTTTTCAACACAGCTCCTGCTCTCCTCACGCTGGACTCAGACTTCCTCTTCCCTTGAATCCTCTTCTAAACGTACACGTCCAAACTCCATTGACTAGATATGTTCTCATTGATACCACCCACCGTTCTATGATATCAAATGATGTACCAAAACAACCAAGGAAACTGAGAAAGCCTCATGATCCTCATTAGCTCCTCACGCCCGCCGGCGCCGCCGCCGGCTTCGGGAACGGCTCTGGTCTTCGGACCTGTCAGAGATCGTTCCACACACAAAGGAAGCAAAGATGTCTGTGGATCAAAGCAAGTTTCCTCACGTTGGATTTGCAGGAAGCGGTTCCAGCAAGGCGTATTGAAAGCTTGAAATGTTACGCTGGAATTGTGCATGGGCAATCCTTACACGCCGGCACCGAATGCCCTCTGCTAGGTGAGCAACGCTTGTGTTGAGCACATATCAGAACTGGCCTTGCAGTTGGCATAGGTGGTGGATAGCCACCGTATGGGTATCCTTGCGGTGGTGGATAGCCATATGCCTGGAGGAAGCAAAGCAACCTCTGCATCATCGACTGGAACCAGGAATCTGAGGCTTTTGGTTGTGTTGACAACGCCCCGAATTGTCACGAACAGAAATCCTTATGCTCAGGCAAGCAAAGGAATTGACTGAGCCAAAGACTGCATAGTAGTCAGGCGGAGGCGGTGGGTACCCATAGCCTGCAATCCAAGACTTTGAGCTCAAGTGCGAAGGTCAACCAGTGAAGGCAGTTGAGACTCGACCAATGGGTCAATGAATGACACAGAGGGAAGTCTGTTCACCTTTGAAGTGTTTCCGGTCAACTGGATATTATACATGGAGCCCTCTTACATGTATACCTGGGAAAGGAGAGGACGAAAGCCAGCGAGAGACCACTAGACCAATATGGTAGTGCAAGACTGGGAGGAACAAATAGCGGAGCACTTATTGTTGAATGCCTGTAGCTTTCGTGGAGCTTGTATCAACGTGGAGTAGATCAAGATCGGAGCACAGCATGAAGTGTTGAATGCTTTAGGCTTTCTCGATTTTCCTGGCGCGGTGCTCTCCGGAGCGTCCCTGTTTGGTGGTCTACTTGAGAATCCGTGTAAAAATAAACGTCAGTGAAGACCAGGAGAAGGATGCCCGAAAGGTGATTTTTGGTTGTTTTGAAATGTGTTTCGGGCATCGTGAATCCTGCCTCAATGTGAAGCCCTATAAAGAGCAGGGCTGGGGGAAAAAAGAGGAGAGCACTCATTCTTGAATGGTTGTAGTTTTCGTGGAGCTGGTATCACTGCGACGTAGATGAAGATCGGAGCACAGCATGAAGTGTTGAATGTTTTTAGTGTTCTTGATTTGCTTGGCGCGGCGCCTTCTGGAGCGTCCCTTGTTGGTGTTCTAATTGAGAGTCCGTGCAAAAATAAGCGTCAGTGAACACCAGGAAAATGATGCCTGAAATTGTTTTTGTGGTTGTGTTGAAATGTGTTTCGGGTATCGTGCATCAATGCGAAGCCCGATAGAGAGCAGGGCTGGGATGAAAAATAGCAGAGCACCTATAGTTGAAAGCTTGTAGTTTTCGGGAGCTGGTATCACTGCGATTGAGATCAAAATCGGAGCACAGCATGAAGTGTTGAACGCTTGCAGCTTTCTTGCTTCTCCTCTTGCGGCGCTCTTATCCCCAAGCCTCTATCTCGCCCAACTGGACGTGCTCACATCGTTCGCTCCCAGAGCGTTCACTCTTTGTTGCTTGGTCCTCCTTGGTACGATCAAAGCTACACAGTCCCTATGCCCTGCTCCGGACTAGAAAAATTGTCTCCAGACCCCTTCATGATGCCAATGATGCACTACTCGACGTCCATTGCATCACTCGCATCACCAGACCTCATTTTCACTGCTTTTCTGATCCTCGCTTTGGAGTGCTCTCCCCCACCAAGCTCCGGGTTCACCCTCTCAAAATGTGCCTTTTCGCGCCCTCCCCCCCCCACACCCCCTTAACTCACTTCGTTCGCTCTAAGAGCTCAAGCCTAGCCTATCGGCTGGCTTTCGTAATATATATATATATATATACATTATATACAATATACTATATATATACATATTATTATTAATAGTATTATTATTACTAGGATTATTATTATTGTTATTAATATGTTTTTTATTTCTTATTATTACTATTATTAGTATTTTATTATTGTTATCATTATCATTATCATTATTCTTATTATATATATATATATTCGGACGATGGAAAATGCCGGGATGCCTCCGCCATAGGGATAGCCACCATATGCAGGTGGCGGGTATCCTGGATAGCCTCCGCAAAGAAAAGGAGGCATCAGCATGCGTCAGCTTGATAGTCACGGGAGAGGAAGCTAGGAGTCTACATGAAACATGGTTTGAAGAAGGCTGCCAATATCTGCAGTCTGCAGGTAGAAATGGTTTAACGTCAAGTTGAGTACAGTGACACAGCTGTCCTGAGGTAGCAGTACATTTTGGAAGCTCTGTAGCATGAATGATATTTCTTCAGACAAGAAATATGAACAGTATTGAACAGTTTTAATTCTTGTTTCTAATTGCAAACATTGCTACTAGTAGTAAGGCCACAACCCCTAGTAGCGTCCTTGCTCCTTGTAGCGATGCCCTTTGTTCCTAGTAGCGTCCTTTGCTCCTAAATTTACACTTCGTGTTGTGAGATATCGAGTTTGGATGAACCGTCAGAAGTGACACCCATCGACCAGCTTGAAAACGTCCTTGCTGCTGCTCGAACGCGCCTCCGTAAGCACCCTTAGAACTGCTTCATATGCTAATTGACTAAGTGTCGAAATGCGTATGCCTATGCCACAGTATCCTCGAGGCAGGCTAAGTGTGAAGCAGGAGGAGGATAGTAGCCTGCCAAGCTGAAGGCTCACCAAATGAAACTTGTTTCTGATTCTGTTTGGGAAAAGAGTAGTGCGGAAACCACGAAGCATCAACTTGCACGGGAAGTATGAAGAAGTATGTATGTATACAAGTGTGACACCTGCGTTAGAAGAACTCCCAGCAGCTGGATGCATTGCTCAACATTAAAACAATCAATGGAAGGGACCGAGCAAGGCAGAATCAGTGGGTGCTAGTATATGTGAGTATATGTGTGTGTGAGAGATGCCTGGTGGAGGGTGCCCCGGCGGCGGGTAAGGCATAGGCCCATCACGACCTCGGTTCCGCATCCCTCGTCTTGAGTGAATAGCCTCCAAAAAAAGAGGAGGAAAAATAAATACATGTTGTGCAACTAAGATGTAAGATGTATGATGTATAATGTATGATGTATGATGTATGATGTATGATGTATGATGTACGATGTACGATGTACGATGTACGATGTATGATGATGATGATGATGATGATGATGATGATGATGATGATGATGATGATGATGAATGTATCCACAGGCAAAACCCGCCACGTTCCATCTTCTCCACAATCAAGCCACGAAGGCCTTGCTATGAGTCGCAGATACACTCTAAGTCTGCAACGGTCATCATCACGTCTGTCATCCTGCTTTTTGAACTCTAAACGCACAAGGTTTTCACGGAAGTAAGTGTTCCCATCACTTTTCATTGCCCGAGCTCGCAGAATCCCGAGGCTCCCTCCTGTCTGCCGCCACTTTCCCGAGCGCGCATCACCTCCTATGTGCAGTGGGGGAAATCCTAAGAATTCAATCTAGAATCTAGACCTTAAAAAAGCAATTCGTCTGTCCTGTGGCATGCAGCGCTTCACCTCTACCCATTTCTTGTCGATCTGGTTCCCCTTGTCATTGGCGAGGGCTGCCTGAAGCTCCGTTCAGGTTCCCCCACAACTGAGTCTCTGGGTCTAATTGCCATTGAGCTGGCAAATGTGGGCAACCTGACCACCGAAGTGAAACTGACACTTTTCTGACCAACGCTGCGCACTTCACGCTGCAGGGCCATAGGGTGATACGGGTAAGCAAATGCTAGCTGCTAGCAGCTGCTAGTATCCTTTAAATGTTGGATGAATGCAATTGTAATCCTCTACTCCAGTGCACCAAGTCAGAATGGAGCAACTCTCACCGGGCCTTAGGCCGCGGTCCAGCTACCGGAGTAACCGCAAGAGGTCCCTTTCTGACCAGCATGCCAATGAAATCCCAATGGATTTCACAGCTGGATAAACTGTCCAGGAGTATCAATCCAGGCGGGCGATATCACTGACTCCAGGTCCGCTGGAGTTGCCTTGGCGGGGAGAACCAGTCCGTTTTGAAATGCAATTGTTGTCTTGGAGTTTCATAATATTGCAACGCACAATGGACCCCAATGGAGGAGTTATTACATCTCTCTATTGTTGTGATATTCTTCGCTTCAGGAAGACAGTTATATAAGTGATGCCTATGGTGGCCGCAGCTCGGCAAAATTCAACATACACTACAGAGGCTTTCTCCACCCTATATAACTGGACGCGAAAACACAAACCTTTCAACCTTTCCATCGTCCGCTGGGTCCCCAAACCTCCGTGAAGTCAGCAGAAGTCAAACCCACACCAAGGCGTTTTGACTTCGATTTAGCCTCAAAGAAACCATTGTAAAAGGATCTGCTGTCCAATACTCGCCCTACTACTATACAATACTGCGGTGCTATCATATTATAAGTATGTGCCAATCCATCTGATATATGTGTGTGTTTTTTTAAATACAGCAATAAATATACACATTTATATGTGAACATTGCCGTCATCTTGGGGAGCAGGCTGTTGCATTTGTCGCGAGGAGAGATAAGCGTGGTGCCACCTCACAGGCAGAATTGCACAACGTCCAGCTGTCTCAGTCCACATGCGTGCCTTGCAGTCCTCCGTTGATCTTGCGATGTGCACCTGAATGATTTGAAGAAAAAAGGGAGGCCAAGATGAAGAAAAAGGAGGAAAGTAAGCAGTATCACAGTTTCACACTTCACGAATTCGGACTTCGCACAGAACTTCAAGTCTCGCTTCACCTGTTTGTTACGGCGGTCGAAGACTGTAAAGTAGTAGCGGAGGAAGGGCATTCCCAGGATGAAGACCTCTCCAAACTGAGATTCCTGCAGGACGAAGCACCAAAGCATCACACTCATAAGCTTCAAAAGCAATCTTCAATTATGCGTGGTAACTACATGCCAACCTTGTCCACTTTCATGAAGGCCCCTCGACAAGCTGGAGAGCCATCTTCCTCTGTGACCTCAACAATTGCGCTTTCGTTTGATGAAATAGTGCTGAGGCAAAAAGGGTTCGCTATCCTCCAAAAACCTAATGCGGCAACCACAGGGATGTGTTGGTCTACAAAAAACTGCAATTCTGCATGGGAGACAGGGCCTTGAAAATGTAGGCCTTTGGTGGCAGCACCACCTCTCGCACAAGACTCACAGCTCAAAAGCAGGGCTGCATTTGCTTTGCTTTGTACTTGCTCGAGCTTGAAGTGCTTGAAGCGCCTCAGCACCGTCGAGCTCGAAGAAAAGCGTCGGGAGCTCGTCCAAGTTGCTGCAGTCACTCTTGACCTTGCTGTGTTGTGAACAGAAGACATGAAGACTGTGCTCCAGTTCCCAGCCTTGCGCTTCAAGGCCTCTGTGATATGGCTAGCAGATCTCGGAAAGGTCAAGAGGGATGTGCCAGAGTCGATCAAAGCACCACCTCGGAGAGAATTGACATGAATTGACCATCAGCCACTTTGACGAGTCCCAGTGGCATTAAAACACTTGAGGCACTCAGGTTGCCACAAGATGGTCTGCAAAGAGTAGAGGTATCTATACCATCCAAGTCTACCTGACACCCGTCTAGAGATTTAACTTCACAAAATGGCAGCTATCAGCCTTCCCTACCCACCATAGAAATTGCAGACCCCAAAAGTGTCGGCCTTGAACTTTGAAAGCTTCGTGGCCCAGTGGCTGTCTCCGGACACATCCACCGATTGAAAGCCTGGAAGCATCGGAGATCGCTCGATCTTCGTTGTCAACGGCTGATAAAGCTGCAAGTTGCCTCGATCTTGAGACATTGCACTGATGGAAGGCCCAAACCTTAGTGTTTGAAGCCAATGCGTACACTGTTCTATTCATGATTACCGATTACCATTACTAAGCAATCGTTTTACGCGACATGTTCAAACTCGAAAAACACTACAAAGTTGAAAACTCAAAACTATATAACTCAAAAAACAAGAAAAGTCTCAACCCCCCCTTGGGCATTGAAAAAAGCTCAAAACATCAAAAAATCAAAAACTTACCTGGCCGAAACAGAGCAAAAGCGTCCAACAATGCAGTCATCTAACAACCTTTGTATAAACGAATCGAGTTTCTAATTTTCGAGTTTTCACGTGGGGTGTGGGGGCATGAGCACCGAAGTTTCACACCCGGCCGCATCCCCAAGGGTAACGACACAACAAAAAAGGCACACTTGTGCAATAGTTTGCATGCAGAGTACTCACCACGTGGCAAACCATGAAGCCTTGCACGAAAATCGAATGATATGTTTTAGTTTCCTTAAACATCAAGTCCAAAAAGACAACAGCAAAGTCGCACGCAGCTTTTTGCCGGTTGGTTTGATTCCTCATGGGTCTGTGTTGAAATGTGAGAATGAAATCGGACTGGGATGGTACCTAGAAACGCTACCACTTGAGCCAAAATGGCAGTGCATTTTGGCTAATGAAATGTATTAAGGAAATAACACCTGCTTTCCACAGGCTCCAAGCACGTTCTAACTGTACAAATTGCAGCCAGGAAGCTTTAGCCAGCCAGGGCTGCTCAGGCCACCTGTCAACCATGCAGCTCTGTCTTAATGAAAAAAAGACAGGAAATAAAGAAAGAACATGATATTCAACATTAAATTTATTGGCATCTTTATATTGGTCATTCATTTTAATAGCGTATCTTTTTCCTTCGAAGAAACCAAGGCTTTCTGTGTCGGCCTCGCTGGTAGCACAAAGCAAAAGCATCCAGGTGCATCTCTTCAAGCAAGGACCTGCAAATTGTCAAACTTGCAGCACCTGCAAAGCAAACAAAAAGAACCGCACACATTGATATGAACCGAGTCTGTTGTACCAAAGAGAAATATGTTTAAAAAAATGAAATACACGATGAATGCTATGCTTGTTGCAAGAGTGCGTCACCTTGCTGACTGCTTGAGAGTGCGAGGGCCGTGCGATTTTTAGCACAATGATGGACGACAATACCGTATATTGATTGAAAAAGCTTAAACAGGCTGCTGTATGCTACCCAAAGATCGAGGTGTTCACCATGCGCAAGGGATGCTGGGAATTCCTGCCGATCTTCTGTTGCATCGCCGCTGAAGCCGTCAGGGATTCTCTTCCTGCAAGCAAGAGCTTCGTCACGAAGAAAGGGCAGGTCAATATCCTGGTATCTTGCTTCGGGATAGGCACACCCCATATTGGTACACCGCGTGATCAAAGTTCATGGGTTGCAGCAAGGATGCAGCAAGGTAGGAGTCTGAAGCAGGACCTTGAAAACAGTATTACAATAATATATATATATATATAATGTGAGAACCGTATTAATAAGGAGGGCCCCGGCCTCGCCATTTCTTTTTTCTTTTGGGGGGCGGGTTGAGGGAGGTCGTAATTATAAGACCGGTAGAGGTAGTGGTAGTGGTAGTAGTGGTAGCAGTGGTAGTAGTGGTAGTAGTGGTGGTAGTCGTAGTAGTAGCAGCAGTAGCAGCCGCAGCAGCAGCAGCAGCAGGAGCAGGAGCAGTAGCAGTAGGAGTAGGAGTAGGAGTAGTCGTAGTCGTAGTCGTAGTCGTAGTAGTAGTAGTCGTAGTCGTAGTGGTAGTCGTAGTCGTAGTCGTAGTCGTAGTGGTAGTCGTAGTCGTAGTCGTAGTCGTAGTCGTAGTCGTAGTCGTAGTCGTAGTCGTAGTAGTAGTAGTAGTAGTAGTAGTAGTAGTATATAGTTATTGTGTACGTAGATTATGGGGATGGGTCACAACTTGGATACACCATGTATCTTGACCTTCCAGGAAGGTCAATCAAGGTCTTCTGGTTTGATATGACTTGACTTGCTTTTAAATAATTGAGTGCCACGTGATCATTCTGAGATAAACCCATACCACCACAGTTCTCAATAATCAATTGACACTTGAATTGCGCTGGCAATGCGCGCAGTTTGATGTGCATCCATAGCTTCTTGAGTTGGACAAAAACTAATCAAAGCCGAGTCTCACGTGAGACAGCCCGACGATGCCAGAGAAAATTGCCTTGGCTACATGATGCTACATGCATGTGTGTCAATCCACTGGATGGACAAGAACATGCTTTCTTGTGAAGTCTTGAGTCAAAGATTAGAATACATCGGGGCTGAGACATTCCCAGTCTGCCAGAACTTCAGCTCATGCTTTTGCACCATCCAAAAAGTCATATCATTCGTCGACACAGCAGAGTCTCCTAAGTAGAGCGTGGCAATGGTTCCGAACCTGTTGCAAAGTGAGCTGTAAATGTAACCATGGCCGAGTCTAAACTGCAGCAAAGCCTCTTCCACCCAGTCGTAGAGTTTCGAAACCCTGCACCCAATGTCTGAACTTCACATGCGCATGTGTCGGTCAGTTGTGCTTCGAACGTCGTCAGTCTAGCAAGTCCTGCCTCTGCTGTTACGACATCGCCGCTTACAAAGGCATGTTCTGCAACTACCTAGAAAGAGAAGTCGGAACATAGTAAAGGCATGTTGAAGACGAAGCTCTGCAAAGGAGTTGTGCAGTTGCATATAAGTGTACTGCGTGAGAAGGGCTTTCTCTGAAGGAATGCGACTGTTTGTAGTCGTACCTCACAAGCAGAGGTCAAGTCTCTCCCTGAGAGACCACATCACAGCCGCCAAGGAGCATGGACAAGCTCTTGACGCAGCTCGTGCACTTTGTTGAAAGCACCAGGACCTGTGTCAATGGAGTCAAGCTGGGCCAGTCGTCTGACTCATGTAGAGCGTGAGGATTGCTTTCGTTCCAATGGAGAGCACTTAAATCAAACCTGGCCTCAAATGATCCAGTGTCATAGATCATGGGCAATTCTTGATCGCCTAAGCCCGCTTCCCTACGTGATGTAGGTTTTGCTGACTGAGTTGGGCCTTCTTATTTCACAAACATGGCGCCAAACAAATGCATTCAAGAGTCCTATGGTGAACCGCCCACTGTACTGGACATTGAAGTGGTTGTTCAACCTCAAATGTCTTCAGGAGACTGTGCTGGACATGGGCTGCTTGTTGACGAGATGCCTGATACTGTAATCTTTGGGTGGAGTTGTAAACTCCTGCGGTTGAAGCACATGAATCAGACTCTTCCTCAAACTTAACAGTCTCCAAACAAAGAGACTCCTGAAGGATAGACCCGTCAAGCTTTTTGGTGCCTGTCTCAATGTTGTGGCTCTCCTGGGAGGCTTGAGGCACCGTAGGCTTAAGCTGTAGAACGCGGCCAAACAACCGTCATTGCCTTCTCCGCAAAAAGTTTGGCAGTTGTCACGTCAGAATCCTGAGTTATCAAGGTGCAGCTGAAGCCTGAAGGAATTTGAGATTCTGGAATTTCGAAGGCTCAATCCTGGTTTGCAAGAGTGACCTTCTTGGCCAAGTGAACTGCACTCACCTGAGTTTCAGTGCAAGCTCATGGGAAGCCACATTCAACACCAAGAGTGGCTTGTACTGTTGTATCTCAGTATCCACTGTCCACAGCATACTATCACAGAAGAGCTTATGTCACTTCATACCAGAAGTGGATTCGGAGTAATGTCCAAATGCACGAGCAGAACAGTGTATGGATCACAATATGTCACAAAACGCTGTTCAAGAATCGCCTGGGAGATGGCAGTACACTGTAGAATAGAGTCCGGGTGTCATTTGAGGTGTGCAAAATGTCTAATCATTGAAATGTCAGGGTGGCGATAAGCCCGACATTAGCTATATACACATTCTTGCCGAAAGAAGTCACTACGCACGAGCTTTTCAAAGTAGGTGTCACCTCAAAACTGCCCTTACATTTGAAAAGGGGAGGAAGATGGAGCGCATGATGAGGTACACAAGGATGGATATATATATATATATATATATATAGAGACAACAGTGAACTGTGCCGAAGACCATGCCAACATTCTTGTAAGGTTGTGTTTTATGAAGTGCGAGAGCAAGTCGCGTTCACACCCTGTCAGTGTAAGATGAAGCCATGTGTGAAACCAGTAAAATATGTAAAATGCAGAATCATGCAAAGCAGTGCAAAGCAGCAACTCAGAAGATTCACAAGCAAAGTCCAACTCCGTCGATGCATCGCTAATGAATTACTGTCTGAAAACCACATGACGGCAGCCGACGGGAGACCTCAATGCCTGCAGCAGCCTGATGATAATAGCGCGTGCATAATTATCCGAGATCATATCACAGACAAATCCTAGGTCTTTCTTAGTGAGCAACGTGTTTGTCAGATTTGCACGTTCCCTGGGACCTCTTTTGTTCCTCATGGCATCACATTTATATATATATATGTGTATGATTTAAACAATAACAAAATAATAAACATAAAAATAGTAATATTTATGTGTATTCCTACAAGTATATACTGTATCTATATGTTATGTGTTATGCACGATAGTTCATATGTTTGATAATATATATATATATGAAAAAATTGTACTAGTATTACTAGTATTTATATATACATATATTATATATACTCTATGAACAATTAAATACATATACCAACAACATGCGATTGGTCTTGATTTGTCGCTGAACTGTCGCTTGCACTCCTGTTCCTGGGCTATGGGCTGTTGCACGAAACGACCTGCTTGTGGAATGTGCCTCAAACAAAGCCCAATGAGCTGAGTATGCAACGCCACTCTAATTGAGCATGTTGTGTTTCCGAGGCAGCCACATGAGCCCTCTGCTGATGGATGTGTGGTCGGATGCTATTGTCAACCTTGTCTGGACAGGAAACACCTTCCTCTCAAGAAATGCCTTACTCAATCCATCTCAACGTACAAGTAGCTGCTCGTTTTGCTGTTTCTGTAGGACTTCTGAGGCACAATCCCTGTTAGCAGTCTTTGCCGACCAAGCTGTCTGCAGAACCTGAACAGCTCGGCTCGACAAGTTCCTCTTCTCGTCAACTCCTCTGCTTCGGGTCTTGCAGCTGAGAAGCTAGAAGGAAACAAGCGCTAGCTGACCTCTGCAAAATGGCGTCGACCCAATGTGTCTCACATGGCATTACTACACAGTCAGACGTCTCAGACATGCCGGGCATGTCTGAACTGAGCATCGCACAGCTTTCTTGAGGCCATAAGCCTAGCCCAGATGTTGAACCGGCTCAACTTGAGGAGTTTGGCTTGGCTTTAAGAGCTAGAAGGGCACCTCGTCGCAGAGGCCTTGATGAGAGACCTACAAAAGGTCAAAGCACGTCGAAGTGCGAGGCCCGCAAAAATAAAGGCAATTAGCTTTTGTTAGTCCAAGTTGTGTCCATGTTGCCAATCATCTGCTGAGGATACGAGGCACGAAGAGATGCCTCTGCAGCTACAATGAGGGAATGGGCAGCTGCCAGCACCTCAGCCAAAAGGCTGAGGTATGTAGCGGCTGAAGGCAAACCGCGATTTCACCAAGTCGCCAAAGCCGGCAGCCCTGCAATGATAGTTTGAGCCAAGAACACGGCAGCAAGTTGCGGAGTGTAATACTTGGTAAGGTCAAGTGACAAGTGTGACAAATCAATGTAATCAATGTCCATCAAACAGTGTCAGTGTCAACAAAGCTTCACAAAACAGCTCCCTTGTTGAGCTGCAAAAACACGAAGCGAAGGATGGGTTAGTTTAAAGTCTCGCAATCGCCTCAACACCCTTCGAATCCTTGAAGGTTACGAAGCCGAAACCTCGATGCCTCGTCGTTGTGCACACACACACACGTACACACACGTACAGCAACATACTCCGTAGTTGTACTCTTTCCATGGCCGTTTCTTTGGAGAGAGGGTAGACCGGTGAGGGGGGATTAGTCAGCTAAGTCTTTGGGTAGGAATAGTAGAACATAAGGGAAGCTACTACATGCAAGGACGCAGTAGTGCTTGAAACGATTCCTGATTTTGAGGGACAGTCAGCATGTCCAGGCCTCTGTGTTTCAGCATCCATCATGACCTGCAGCGAAACATTAGGAAAGCAATGAACAGCATTGTTTTCGTCTGAGGGTTGGACGACAGCATCTTGAATTTCTCCAAACTGTCCAAAGTGTTCTTTCAACTTGACAAGGTCACAAGAGGCTGGTAGGCCACCCTGGCAAGTTGGCGCATTAGGCTGGTCCACAGCTCTTGCATAAACCAGACGGATTGGCAACGAAGATCTTGACAGCATTGTACATACCGCTATTACCTCCACCATCGTCCTAAGCATCGTTCAGTGCTCAATGCTTCTCTTCATGAAATGATTGGGTGTTCCTTTGGAAACATAGTGCAAGTCAAACTCTCGACCGAGGACAGCTCATGTTTCCCGCCCCGTGTTTCACGTACCGCCTCGGCATTGCAATTGCAGTTCTTGCTGTCTTCACCAAAACATCAAGGCCAAAGCCCTTTTGCAGTTCACGTTTGCACCATCGATCTCGTGAGTGGCACCTTACGAGAATGTCGAGTCATTGAAACAAGTGAGAATGTACCTCATTTGTTGCAATGCTGAACTGAAGGTGAACGATGGGATTGAAGCCCTGAATTCTGGGCTTAACATTTTTTTGTGTTAAACAACGATCCTCATGTTCACAGCTTCAACTCAATAACATTGAGGCCCCCCGGCGAACGGCAGCATCCATAGCATGGCTTGTCGTGAAGGTCACGAAGCCAAAACCACGCGAGCGGCCACTGGCCTCCATCGTTGCCCAAGTCGACAGCTGACGTCAACACCCGTCAAAATGAGCCAAGCGGAGTCAGTTGAAATCTGTTCAACCAAGTCTGGTTTTTCGTGAAAGAAGCCGTCTTTAGACTAATTTCACTAACTTCATGATTTTACGATCTTTGTGGGAAAAACCAGCATGTCTCCCAGTGTCCTTGTCCATCATGACGACGCATTCAGAAATCTCACCATAGTGTGAGAAGTGATCCCTGCAGGAAGCAGAAGACTCTCACTTGCACATTCTGCAGCGGTATACAGCAAAGACTCAAGCATGCCATATTTCTCACGCTGAAATTTGCCAAGTCTTTATTCGCACCTTGATCTGCGCTACTTAATGAAGCAACTTCTGCCAATCCAATGGCTACTTGAAGGACATTGAAGCACAACAGCAACTTTTAGGAGTGGGAGGCCTGCATGATGTGCTGCTTTGCAGCAAATGACTTTTCCTCTAAAGGCTGTTGAAACTGGCTAATCCTAACAGGCTAAACAGCTAAAGACAGCACTACAACGGCGCTATCTAAGTTGCTTCTACAGTCCCTACTGTGGCTGAGGTCTGGCCTTGCAGTTGGGGATGTTGGGAAACATGCGGGATCCGTTTTGATCTTCCATGTGGCTTGGTTCTTTGATCCAACGTTGATCTCTCAACGTACAACCAAATCTTGAACAGCCAGAAACTTGGCCACAGGATCAGCGCTAGGCCACTAATTGATACCTACTCGTCAAGATCTACAAGAAGAATCTACGAAGCGATAATAGCTATCCGATCTCTAGCAGCACTAACTATCGGATCTCCGGACAAGCCCAAATCTCCGCAGACTTCACCTGCTCTTGGCCAGAGGTCAGGTCCCCATCAGGTCTTCTCTGAACCCAGGGTTCCGCAGTTGCAGGAGTTACGTCTGTTTTTTTGGACTTTATCATTATATTATATGTTTAGATCAGATCCTTCTTCCAGGTCAAGACAATGGATTTGCTACATTCGTTGGAGATTCAAGACTGTCTGTCAAGAAAGCACATTCCAAGCAACAACGCTTCTTGTGTAAATTGAAGCCTCGCAGCTCAGCCTACTTGAAGGTAGGTCCTCCAAGCACCGCACTCTAAGCTTTCTTTGGTGGTCGAATGAGACAAATTGCCAACATAGACCTGCCATCGAGATGCTCTCCCTCTTACAAGCTTGCAAACACTCCATGACGTTCCCTCCAGGCACCAAAATCGTAGAACTCATGCGCAAAATGATCGGGTCCACCAATCAATGTGGGCAGGTAGCATGACCTCTACCCCGCCTTTGTCTCAGATCCGGGCATCTTGTATCCGACCCTCTCACTGTCACTGCAGTTTGCTTCTTTTGCTTTTAGCATTTCTGTAAATGTTGTTTGTTAGTCTAGACGTTCCGAAAGAGTCTGCCACAGTGAAATGTGCATGAATCACGCAACTGTTTGGATGCCTTATCTTCGGTGTTTTTTGTGCCAAGTCCAAGTGACCTTTCCATGATTTTCCATGTGTTTGGTTCAGACGTTTCTCATGCAAAGTTCTGTGATGTTCATGCGTGTCCTGGCTTCAGGAATCGGAGCGGTTGAATTCTCTAGCCTGTCTCAATCTATATGATGGCAATGGCCTCCAACCTAATAGCGATGGCCTCCAACCTGCACACCTGTTTCTTCACTCCGCTGCAGTGTTTAGCTTGGCTGCAAAGCCAAAGCCTTGCTCTTTGGCCAGCCGCGCAGCAGTCTTGCCCTGACATCAAACAAGCTTCCGCAGAGCTCACAAAACTCCAGCTGCTCCAGTGCAATGAAATTGTATTGCAAGGCTCAGAAGCTGCTTTCGGGTCAAAGCACCTTGCTATGCGGCTAAGTGTTTACCCCCCTTTTCCACCGGCCTCATTGTCTTCATCGGTAGCACATGCTCCAGCTTTCAGCAAGGCTTCGCAGCAGCGAGAATTTCCAGCTATGGCAGCGGCCATGAGCGGTGTCCGGCCACGAGGATCTGCCTTCAAGCGATGGTGGTTGGAGCGATGAAAAAAGAAAGGGCAGAAACAGCACTTAATAAGGAACCCTTAGTAAAGGGGGCCTTGTTATATACTAGGAGCCTTCTTTATGTAATCTCTTTTTCAAGCCCAGACTGGGATGCCCAGACGAGCCTGATTCACATCCGCTCTGAACTCCAGCAAGAGCTTTGTCAAAGCCTCACCTTCCGAGACTTGCAAAATGCATCACTGGTGGCCTTTGCCACGTGCTTCACTCGCTTGTTCCTTGCCTTGCTCCCCGGAGCAGGCGGAAGCCAAAGCAAGGACGCTACAGCCCTTACTCGCCTTGCGCTTCCAAGCAAAAGAACTGCAACGTTGCCTATATTGTCAGAGTTTCAAGTGACCTCGTTGCAATTAGCGGCTGCTTGGAGCAGCAAGCGGGCGCACTGGACGCCTCAGGTGAGCCCGGTGAGCTATCTCACAGATCAGAACTCCTTCTGCATGCGTCAACAAGAACTTGAAACTGCAGGTGAACATCCTTCAGAGAGGTCTGTCTTCCTCTTGTTCAAAACGTGGTTGGCTTGAGAAAATCGATTAGTCAACCAATATCAGTCAAGGCACTTCCCCCCTGGCAAGCGGCTGCAAGCGCCGTGAGTTGAGAATTGCTTTGGTGATGCACCTCTGCCTCACGATGACAAGTCTTTCACATGAGCGGGCAAAAACAGATCGCAAGCTAGTCACGTCAGATCTCTCCTTGCGTTCCAGCAGGGCCGCTGCGACATCACAGTGTCCATGGCCTTGTGGGGCTGGGCTGCTGTGGGGGAGCATTTGAACAACCTGTGCTGCCTTGCTTCTCTAATTACAACTGGACTTCATTCCACCAGTCCCCCAAATATTGGAATCGCTTCCCTTCCAAGTTGCGGCAGGCCAAGGTAAGCAACGACTGCGATGCAGCTCCTGAGCAAAAGCAGCTTAACAAGGTGAAGGCCAGCGAGTGAGATGGTTCCTGCCTGGCTCCACATGGGACACATTCCTGAGATGTTGAAGCATGCAACATGTCGCCTGCTCTGCTTTCAGTTTTGCATCCTTTTGCTGTAACTCCAGGTCACTGCTGATTGGGCTACCCACTTCCCACTAGTCATTTTATCATGTCGTTTTCGCAGCTGCGAATGACTGCAAATGAGACTCAATTCCCTATGGTGATGAAGCCAAAGTAGTGCTCTGTACTGCCGCTCAGGATCACTTGGAGGTCCGACTGCGGCAGTAAGAATCTCGACCTGCCAGGTTGAAACATTTGTTGCAAATGCACACTCCGGTCCGAGATCTTCTGTGGATTTGATTTCAATATGTCCCCAGCCTCTGCCTTCTTCCCAGCTTTCTTCAAGTCGCCAAGCAATCTGAAACGGGCTTGCGTGAAATCTTTGGCTTGAAAGCGGTGTTGCTAAACAACCCACGGCCGAGGTCCCACACAGGCCTGCGATCAACTCGTGGGCTGACATCCGATGGATTTTGCAGCTCCCACACCAATTGCCTGGCAACGCGTTCCACTTTCTGACAGGAAAATGGCTATGATCTTTGGTACAGGAGTTCTCACTCAATAATAAATCATGTCCCATTCTATTGGAAACAAAAACAAATATATTCCGGCAAGCGACCCCACACAGTCAGGTGAGCGCTGTCAAAAACTGGTCTACGATCTGTTATATTCATGCTCTGCTTCCTTCAATGCTTGCGCGGAGCTTCGGCGACCTGTGTTTTGGCTTCCGCGGGCCATGTTTGGTTGAAATCCTCTTCCGCGGCGCTTCCGCGAGGCATTTCTTATTGTCAAGAAGATTCAAGAAGATATTATGTGCACTTCCGCAAAGCTTCAGCGATGGTGAATTTTAGTGAATTTTACCATATACATCCATATACTTACGTGGTGGCTTCCGCAAGCTTCCACGACTGCAGTTTTGGCTTCCGCGGGCAAGTTGGAGTTTACAAGTTTGCTTAAACTGTTCGTGGGAGGTTTTTGACGCTGCTCAGGTGAAAGAAAGCAAGAGCGTCCAATTCACGACACCCTTTCTCCAAGTGCTCGCCACATTACACTGGTCCGTCCAGAGTGCGGGCGCGCGCAGGCGCGTTTCGAGAGCACTTCAATTAAACACTGGTCGCTTTCTCCAACTGTTTATCTGAGTCAAGCTGCTGCTCTATGGTGAGGCCCTTCAAGAAATCTCCAAGCTCCCCGTCGTCTGGACAGTATTGCCTGTCAAAGCTCTCCTTGCATTGCATTCAAGCAGTGTACAAGAAAAGACATACGCAAACATGTGGTATGTCATACTATGTCAATGTATGTCAGAGGTCCTTGTCCCAAGTACTTTCCCATGGCTTCGAAAGGTCTGCGAGGGCTGTCGTCAAACGCTGCAGCAATTCTTCGGACTGGTCCTGGACACAGCACGACTGCAAACAAGCAAAGCTCCCATTTTCATGAATCAGTTGCTCATTCAATGTGAAGCTTTTCAACCGATTTGTGCTCTGTGTTGTCAAACCCATCGGAGAAATTGCTGTCCTTTGGAGGTTCCACATCCGCCGGTGGAGCTTCTGTTCCTGGATCAAACTAGCCATGTTGGACAGGAAAGCTCAGGCGTACGTCGTACTTATGCAGTCAACTCAGTGCACTAACCAGGATCCTGAATCCTGAATGCAAAAAAATATCTAGGGCTGGACAAGCAATACGCTGTCATGGGATCAAGGGACGGCGACAGAATGCAAGCTGCGATCAGACTCTGGTTCCAGAGTTGCAGGCTTCCAGGTGAAAAGTTGTGATCAGGGCCTGGTTCCAGCATTATCATTCCAGGGTTCCAAGCAATGAATGTTATCAACGCCTGGTTCTAAGGCAAGCAAGAACCCTTAACATAGCTTTCAGTCATCCGCAAAAGCAAACACACACACAACGGAAAGCGTCCACAACCGATACAACAATGACAATGATCCACGGCCCTCCTCGCCGAAGCTCTGCAGCAGAACGCGGCATGTTAACACCATCCTCACCCCTTTGCAAAGCAGCCAAGGTCTTCTCCAACTGAGCTGCCTGGGCTACTGGGCAATTGAATCGGATGTTCACAAGTCTCAACCCCTCCTATGCTTGAACGAACATCAATGACATCAAGCTTGAACATGCTGTATGTGTGGATGGTCAACACGTGTCCAATTCTTTGAAGTGCTAATCTGGGAATCGGCCAAGACTCAGCAGTCTTCTTCCACGCAATCTCATCATCCCAACTGGCCAACTGGGCCAAAATATCATCCTTCTCCTGCAAGGGGCCACAGCGGCCACGGGCAAGTCAAAATCGTTCAGCCTGTTGGACCTATTTGGACCTTCTACCAGTCTATTCTTACTGCACTGCTTATGGTGAAACTGAAGACTGTCAAGTCCTTCAGCAACTGCAGTTCTTTGTCTTGCAAAGCTGCAGGAGTCATTGCTTTGGGCGGAAGTGGTCTGATTCTAGCAGTTTTTCTTTGAAGGATTCACTGCGATTGACTAGGCGGACAAAAATGTCACCAAACTCCACCATTCGGGAGCAAGCCAAGAGTCAGAGTGTCACGATGGATCAAAATGCCCCTACATAGTGGAACCATTTTTTGAGGTCGTTTTGAATTGAGCATTGTCGCGCAATTGATGCCATGTGCCAGCTGTGTGAGTAGTCAGCCTAAGGCCAGCATGACCAATGTCAAAAGGTAAGTATCACTCTCTGCGATTTGAAAGCCACCTGGATTGACGAGTCTAGACGCTTTTTCCTGCTTCAACAGCACTTAGAGCGGCCGTCTTGGTGCAAATCTTTGTTGCTCCGGCTCACTGGTCGTTAGCTCTGGTCCTCCAGGCTGGCTTCAGTCGTGAAAGCTGGAACAAGGAAACATCATGCCTTGCAGCGTTAAGAACTGGCTGGACCTGCAAGTAACTCTTGGTCTGAGATTCCTACACGACAAGTCTTGCAGGTCTCGCAATAAAGCCACTTGAAGCTGGTCTTGAGGCACGAACCTCTGCGACTTTGGCAGATCAAAAAGTTCTGCTGGACCTGGGCAATACAAATCTGTTGTTCTGGGTCCTTGTGCTTTGTGCGCCTGCCTTGACCAGAACCCAAGGCGTCCAGCTGACACTTCATCCTGAGCCGGCCCAGAGCTTTCTCTCATTCAATTGCTTGAGTCAGTGGAATCCGGAATTTCAAGAAGACTGGAACGGCCACTCCCCCCTCCTGCCTTTCATGCTCCACTGCACCCTGATAAGAACGATAGCAAAGATTCAAAGCAATCAATAAATCCTTCTTCTCTCATGCTGATTCCGAAGCATAATGACATGATGTGACATAATGTCATCAGCCCAAGAGGTAGTCACATCAAAGTTGATGCACCTTGCGATGTACCTCCAGCAGTTCTCGCTTCTGTTGTTCCACTTCCCCTGAGAGATCCATAACATGCCAAAAATACTTTGTGCATGTATCAGGAAGCACACGGATGCTTGCAACTCATGGTGTTTTACGACTTCGGCCTGGCCTAAGCGGGCAAACTCTTGGGCCCGAAGTTCCGTGATGAAATGCAGGTGCCTTGAACGCATCAACCGCTCATGTTTCAGCCGATCATGGCACTGTGTACTAGTAACACAGTTTTCAGTACGCACACGAGGCCTTTCAGCATCGCGCAGTTCTTCAGATACTCTTGCAATCCTGCGAAGAAGATGTGGCGAGGAGATGTGGCGACTCCGAAAGTCCACAGCCTTGATGTCACCTCTTTCCTTGCCCTCTGTGCTTCTACATCTGTCTTTTTGGCCTGATCAGGGACCATCAATTTGGGCCGTTACATACTGGCGAATGGCTTTACTGAGAAATCTTATGATCTAAATTCCAGAAGCCTCCTCCTTTGCGATTTCCACTGATCTTTGAAAATCTTTAGCCTGCATATGCTCAGGTTGGCAAGAATTCAATCCCCACTGCCCTTCTACCAATCTCACTCTATTTGTATATATATATATATACATAAGCTATGGCTTTCGGAAAGACCTATTTGCAGCCTCCTGCAATCGCTCTCCTGTGTGCTGGACTCGACGGAGACGGTCGACCTGCATGGATCGCGATCAGGCCTTGTGTCGCAATATGTGTGCACACTCCAAAAAATAATCAGCCATGCACCATGGTTTGGGAAGACATCCGTGCACTTTAGCAAACATACGCGAGCAACTCAAGAACCTTGTGTGGTTCCAGGATGGCTCTGTTCTGCAGCTCTTTTTGCTGCGCTTCGTGTTCCTTACATTCTGTCCAGAGACGCAGAAGAACATCCACAATGGATTCACATGACCAGTCCTGGATTGCAGTCATGCATTGCTCCACCTGTGCCTCCTTTTTTCGCAGAGTTTCCCTGCCACCGAAATGAAAGCGAAAAGCCGCACGTTAGCAAACATGCCACATCACCTGGCTTTCGTCATCTCGGTCTGAGCCAATTCCTCAGGCTCATGCGAACCCTAGAGCCAATTACATTGTTCAGACGCGTCACATGACTATGTTTGGCCGTATCAAAACCTGGTTCAACAATGCTGCCCTTTTTGGTCCTCTTCCCAAAGGCTCCTTTTCAGCTGCTCTTGGCACTCCTTGCAGTTACCCTCATTTTATCCCATCTTGTTGTTTAGTAGAGCCAAGCTTGGAGAGCGCATTACGCAAAAAATATAAACGTAGGAAGTCAGGCAAATGTAGGTACCAGGTCCAGGAGTGTTGCATGTTCCTTTTAAGGCGCCCCTACCTGTGACTGGCTGCAGTGAACATGTTTCTTCCTTCTCCAAAGCAGAAGCGCATCTACCGCAACATGGGACACCCGTCCTGCAAACTTTGTTGCAGCAAAATCGACCCAGCCTGGTCAATCGCATGGTGCAACAAGGTTCAAAGCAACAAAGCAAACAAGCAGCTGCAGGCTGCAAGCAGCCTCCATCTGTCTTAGCTTATTCAAGTCGTCATGGAAATTCGGAAGCCTGCGACATTCAAGAAGCACATCGGCCACATTTGGAGCTTCTTCCAGCGATGAAGCCACCAAAGCCTCCTGGCCTTGCCATGTGCCACTCCCACCATTCGTTTGTTTGCCTGAAAGCTTTGCCAGATTGCTTTCATGTTTTACTTCTCACTAGAATCAAACTTGAAAAAATACCAGTAGAACTAGTCAAAGGAAGTTTAGTGTACGAAACTTCCGTGTTACGGACATTCAAGAACTGTTCGTACACCTTTCATCAATACACCACTCATCATACACC